TATATATATATATATATATATATATATATATATATATATATATATACATATATATATATATATATATATATATATATATATATATATATATATATATATATATATATATATATATATATATATATATATATACACACACAACATGACCAGGCAATGGGTGTGGAGGAGAATCCTAAATTCTTAAGTTACTTTATAAAAGCTTTCTGTATTTACTTTATCCCCTCTCCTGTTGTTCCTATTAATCCTTCCAGATTCACTCCCTTCCTATTTGTCTTGTCTTTTGTTTTTATCTTATCCTTTCTTCATCATATTTCCAAGAATTTAGTAATATGTATTCAACATATTTTTATTGCTTTATATCCTATACACGCATCTGTTTCATTTTCCTTAATACAAATAATGTTTTATTTAACCCAGCATAACCAAATCTTAGTTGTGTCAAACTAATCTCCTCTCATCGATTCTTTCCAATCACACTGTTAGGACTCCAGTCTGTGTGGTCTGTGTTTTTATGTGTTTGTCTTCCTTCCTCCACCAGGCAGCGGCTGGTTCTGATTCTCCTCCTCACACACCTGCAAGGGGTTACCTCGTTAACGGAGTGTTCTTAAGCTGCTGACTGCCACTACCTCAACGCCAGAGTGTTTGCCAGTTTTGGGTACTCTTGCCAAGAATTTTGATGAGTCAAACTGAGTTTTTGTCAACCTGAGTCTTAACATTTTTTGTTTTGTTTTTGCCTCTCGGCAGGAAGTCATCCTGCAAACTGGATTTTTCTGACCTTCTCCTCCCTGGAAGCAACAACTGAGCTTCAAACTGAGCTGAGGAAACAAACCGGAGGTTTGGATTCACTTCTCCCTGAGGAAACGTTTGAGCTCCACACTGAGCAAGGGATTCATTTGCACAGCAGTCCGTTCAAGTACCGCAGGATATCTGAGTGGCAGTCAGTCTTCTTGTTCATCTACAAGCAGCCGCATTCTGGCTAACCCTGTCCGCCCCCCACTGTAAGAGGCTAACGCATTCCTCACCTACTGGAGTCTAAGAGTCAACCTAATCTCTTGAAACGTGAGTCTGACAACCTTTTCTCCTCTTCAAGTTCAAGAATCAATTCTCCCACTGAACCTGAACTAACCGCAGTGTCTTCCCCTCACCTTTCAGTTCTGGTTGAGCAGTGTTCAGAGCAACACTGGAATCTCCACCAAACTTCTCAATAAACCTGTTTAACTTTTTCCCTTGTCTCTCTGGACTGGTTTATCTGCATGTGGGTTAGAGCTTGTCAGGACTCTAGTGTGTTTGTTTGTTTTGTGTGTTTGTTTCCCTTCCACCAGCAGGAGGCGCCTGGTTCTGGTCTGCCTCCTCACACACCTGCTGATGGTTACCTCGTTAACGGAGTGCTCTTAAGCTGCTGATTGTGTTTGCCAGTTTTGGGTACTCTAGCCAAGCTGAGTTTTTGCTGAGTAAGATTGAGTTCTTGTCTACCTGAGTTTTAACTTTGTTTTTGTCTTTGCCTCTCGGCAGGAAGTCTTCCTGCAAACTGGACCTTTTTTCGAACCTCCACTCCCAGGAGGGATCAACTGAGCCTTAAACTGAGCTGGTGATTCAAACTTGAGGTTTGGATCCAGTCTCCTTAAGAGGACGCTGAGTTTACTCTCTGAGCAAGGGAATCGTCTTCACTAAGACCTGTTCAAGTACAGCATGAAATCTGAGTGGCAGTCAGTATCTCCGTTCACCTACACCGTCCGAGTTCTGGGTAAACCCTGTTCCGCCCTCCACCGAGTCAGACATACTCTGGTAAACCAACGCACAGATTGGAGTCAAAGATTCTTCAACTTCTCTGGAAACGTGAGTCAACAACCACATCCTCTTCTTCAAATCCACGAATGAAATTTCCCACTGAGCCTGAACTAAGTTTGTCTTCCCCTCACCTTCCAGTTCCGGCTGAGCAGAATTCAGAGCAACACTGCACCGTGCTTAAAGGAGAAGTTCGGTTTTTTACACTTTAAGCCCATTTTCTGTAGTGTCCAGGATGAAATCGAATGAAGGACACCAAAATTTTGACAATTGGTCCTGTCTCTGCTTTTTGGCTCATTTAGAATCACCCCCTGGCTGCTTTAGAATGGCTAGCATAGAGCATGTCCGATAATGTCCTTAAAACAACCTTAAACGTTCTTTTTTTCAAATATGCTACTCACCGGGTCGTCAGCGCTGTTCAATGACGTTCCAAAAAAAGTTTCGTGAAGAAAAAACGTTCCTGTAGTGTTTTATTTAGCATTTTGTAAATCCCATTGAGTTCTGTAGGAATAGTCAATATTCCGCTGCCACCGGAAACGGAAATGGGGCCTGTTTACACAGTTGTAGTCTTTTCGCTTCACTCTGCGTACTCCGACGTCGAGGTGCTAACGTCTCTGTTAAACACTTTAAAAAACTCTGAAAATGGAATACGAAAGGTGGATTCTTGATTCTCGACGTCGGAGTACACAGAGTGAAGCGAAAAGACTACAACTGTGTAAACAGGCCCCATTTCCGTTTCCGGTGGCAGCGGAATATTGACTATTCCTACAGAACTCAATGGGATTTACAAAATGCTAAATAAAACACTACAGGAACGTTTTTTCTTCACGAAACTTTTTTTGGAACGTCATTGAACAGCGCTGACGACACGGTGAGTAGCATATTTTAAAAAAAGAACGTTTAAGGTTGTTTTAAGGACATTATCGGACATGCTCTATGCTAGCCATTCTAAAGCAGCCAGGGGTTGATTCTAAATGAGCCAAAAAGCAGAGACAGGACCAATTGTCAAAATTTTGGTGTCCTTCATTCGATTTCATCCTGGACACTACAGAAAATGGGCTTAAAGTGTAAAAAACCGAACTTCTCCTTTAATCTCTTCCATAAAACCTGTTAAACCTTTTCCCGTATCTCTCTGAATTGGTTTCTCTGCATGTGGGTCCGAGCTTTAGATAAAATCATGACAGAGCTCTTGATAAAATCATGACACACACCCTTGGATTTAGATTTGCTATTATTTTATCAATATATTCTTTTTTTAATGTATAGATTTTTGCACACCATAATGATTTCTTTAATTAATTCATTTTATCCATGTTCAAACTATCCTGCCATTTTCTTTATTTCTTTTTTTATTATTGCCTTCGCTTCTCCTTTCCCATAAGGTTTGTTTATAATATATGTTCTAACTGCCCTTTTAGCTATTTGGTCTGCTTTTTCATTTCCATGTATTCCTACAAACAAAATCCAACAAAATTTTATATTAATATTAGGTTTTTGTATTCTAAAAAAAACTTTGATGAATTTCTCATAATAGATCTTCTCTTTGTGATTTCACATTTTGGATACTGCGAATGATTGTCAAAGAATCAACACAAAAAACTACTCTTTCCGGTGTTACTTCCTCTAATCCTTGTAGTCCTGTAATTATCGGGTCTGTTCGAAAACCTAGGACGGGTCCTCCAAGGACGCGGTCTACCTAGACTGGATCCTCCGAAGTCCTTGAAAATAAGGAGACCGGAAGAGTTTTGGCTGTAAATTCGACCAGGTCTACCCTTTGGCGGGTTTTACCGCCGTATGCTCTGTTGCTTAGCAACCGTGAACGTTGACACACAAAGCAGGAAAAGAATGAATACAGAAGTTTTCAAAACTGTTTATTTATTTCTTTTTTATTGTGAAGTGAACAAAGACTACACTCACAAGAATCCAGAATTGAATAAATGTTCCAACAGCCGGCAGCAGGAACAAATAAAATCAAATGTAATGATAGAAACCTTAGTCAGTTAAATAACCTGCTGCTGTCATTCTGCACATCTCTGATGCTGCTGCTATTTTCAAATATCCATTACTGTAAAAATGTCCATAGCTGCATATTGGTTATTTATTCCCCAGTTTTATATTGTTAAAACACTTTACAGTATTTTATTGTTTATATTTTAACTCCTACCTATTATGTTATTCTTATACATTTTTCTAAGGTCCACATTTGTGTGACCATTTTCAATAATCTTTCTGCTGCTGTAAATTTTCCCATTGTGGGACAATAAAGGGATATTCTATTCTATAAAAGGGGTAGAAAGATATAAGTAAATCTAAACAATATATTTACAAAAAATATATCTGCAAAATCTCTAATATTCAACAACAAAAAATACAAAGTTAAGCAAAATAGCAATAAAAAGATAAAAATCCTATCAGATTTATAGTCCCCTGCAAATATATTAGTATCTGTCCTTAAATTACAGCCAAACCAATTTACACAGTAACAGATTAAAACCTTTAGATAAACCAAACATTACCGCCACATATATGACTCAGTAACCATCAAAACAACTATTTTCATTCATTTCAGACGGAACTATTCAGAGTTGTATTATATTAAACTGAACTTCCAATTTTCACCACTGTTCGGCGCCAAGTAACCTTTCCTCTGATCACAGCTTGCTTGGTCTCGCAATGAATCCTGGGATATCCAAGAATACCGAGGATACATCGGACCCGTCCTTCAAATCGGGCAAAAAGAAGGACGCATTTTAAGGCCGCATAATGAGGACTCTTGGAATCCGACCAGACCTCGGCGCCGCGCTATGACGTAATCGGCCTTCGAATCCGGTCTTCTAAGGATGCGTCCTAGGTTTTCGAACAGAGCCATCTCCATAATTTCTGCTGTGTTCACTGACATCTGATCAGGTCATTTCCTCCCGATGCTGACCTTTATTATTAAAACGTATATTTCTATGAGTACTGTATCTTTTTCATCCTATATCCATCTGTGTATATATGTATATGTATATATATATATATATATTAATAGCTGTAATATTTGATTATTATATAATGTTTTGCCAGTTGACCTTTTTAAAACAATCTCACACCACCTTTAAAATATTTGTGAAATTCTCGTGCGCTCATCGCGTCACACGCTGTTAACCAATCAGAAAACGAAAACGAAACCCAGAACCGCCTTTATAGCAATCTGATTGGCCCCCTGCCCAGACGTTGTGGCCTTATGGGCGGGTCCTGCTCCGTGTAGCGGTTAGCAGGGAGGCTTGCCGACTAGTCCGGGAAGAGAAGCTCAGTGGGTTTCCTTCTTCCTCCAGAGCTGCAGCGCATAGGTGAGTCCACAGCGGTTAAACATGTGTTTTACTATGCTTGACCAACAGCTAGTTTTTAATGCCAACGGCCCAGCGGCTACAGAGCTGACATGGTCAGAAACGACCACCACCACTGTTCAGAGAACACAGAACCGCCATTAACCTCTTGACAGCGGTGCTTCCACTGTCTGGGACCTAAAACACATAGAAGCTGCGAGCGTTACGAAACCGCAGCTGGTTGAATGAGGTCAGTTTAACCGCTGCTGTTTTCACATTTATCCTCCGTTTGATTAAGCATCACCTCACTGGGGGGTTGCAACATCCAAGCAGCATTTCTATTAGTAGCAATTACTAGTAATTACTTCTAATGAGTAGTAATTACTAATTGCTACTATTAAGAGGTAATTACTAGTAATTTGACCAGCATCAAAGATGCGTCGGTGCATGCATGGAGCCCATAGAGAAAAACACAGTACCAGTGCGCGTGCCGTTTCAAGGAAGTCATGGGACCGATACAGGTGTTGTTTCTAACGGTTTAAAAGGGTATCTGTCAGAATCATAAATGTTCTACAAATAATTTCTCATCTTTTGCGGTTTATAAGGTTCCATTAACACCTTTGTTTATAGATGTTCAAGGTCTGCCTGTTTTTCAGTGTAGTCCTGGTTCTCTGACTGTGACTGGCTGGATGTACTCTCTTTCAACCTCTGACATGGGAGCTGGCTGTGTTTTCTGTCTTCTACAGTTGCTTTTTGTATCTCTTCTTCTGTCTCCTTGAACCCCAGTCGGCCTCAGCAGATGGCCGCTCACACTGAGCCTGGTTCTGCTGGAGGTTTTCTCCTGTTAAAAGGGAGTTTTTCCTCTCCACTGTCCCTACAAGCATGCTTAGTGTGAGGGAATGCCTTTGAGTCAATGAGTCGATGGAATCAACTGGTTTTCTTTAGTTAGAAAACTTTGAATCAATTTGACTGAATGATCTGGTTGAACTATAAAGTGCCTTGATGTGACATGTTGTGAATTGGCGCTATAGAAATAAACTGAATTGAATTGCTCAAAAAATAAAGGGAACACTTAAATGACACATCCTAGATCTGAATGAATGAAATATTCTGATATAATACTTTGTTCTGTACAAAATTATATTCATTTTATTTCTATAGTGCCAATTCACAACATGTCATTGGGAATTGGCACTATAGAAATTCATCGAATTGAATTGAATTAAAATTATCCGGAATTTTGGAGCAGCCTAAAAAGAATAGAAACATTTCAGCCGTTGCGTTTTTATTTTAATTTTCTTGTTGTGTCATCCTTTTCCTCTCAATTATAAATCAACTTATCTGAATTAAAGTTCATTTCAAATTATTTACTGTTTTTACTGTACTTACTGTTTTAAAAATATGTTTTAAAATCCTAGGCCACAAGCATCCTCATTTACATTTACCCCTAACTTTTCACATTATGATATATAAATGATATATATGGCTTCATCTAAAAATAGCAAACATATTTTCAATTTACGCATAGATATGAAATATACAATATAACCTACAATAACTTAAATTATATCGTTGTACTAGGTCATCAAATCCCTCCATCCATCCATTCTCTGGCACGCTTAAGCCCAAGTGGCAGGATCAATACAATTTGGCAATATGTGGAAAGGCTTTAAGATGCCTCATTAACCCATCCCTAGTAATCACTAGTAATCAGTAGTAATTCCAGTCAGGTTCCTGTGGTCGTCTAAAGCTGTTTTTGTGACTGAATGTTTCTCCACAGGTTTTCACTTCAATCTCTGATTGACTGTTCAAAGTGCAGAACCCTATAGATCCTCACCCAATCTTCTGATTGCGCTGCCGAAAGCATGGAGTCCACTAGGAGGCGGCCTCAGCACAAAGCAAATGAAGGTGGAGCAACGGAGAGATCAGCGCAGTGGGGCAGAGCTTGGTGGGTTCAAACTTTCTCTGTGATCAGATTATACATTGAACACTGGGGAGCAGTTTAAACTGAAGCAGCTGATTAAACTCCAAACTTTGGAGCTCAGATGTATTCTCTTTCATTACTGTAAAGCTTCCGTTATTTTGAGCCTGAATGTTTAAGCGGGATTGTATCTATCCAGTTGACAGCCAGTTCTCTCTGATAACATCTGGCATAAAACCCCTGACTCTGCTTTAGGGATCACCTTTTATCTGCTGCTCTTTATGATTCTGTTCCTGGAAGCTGAAGTTCATCTTAGCCAGGCTGTAGAACAGAAATCTGCAACCTGCAGCTCCAGAGCCTCGTGTGGCTCTTTGGACCCTCTACAGCAGCTCTTTATAGTGGCCAAAATGTATATAAAGACCTAAATAATGTACTATAAAATAAACATGATTCTTAAAAGCTTAAGTGATTTTTATAAGAAGGAAAATAAAAGAACCAGACATGTTTTTAGAGCCATTTTTCTTTTAATTAGTGTGGAATTTATGTTTTGAATTTTTTTAAAAAGCTAAAAATACATATATTTTGGGTTGTTTAAGATGGTAACTAATTTCCTAATTAGGATTAAAAATAAAAAAAAAACATATATATATATTTTTTTGAAAAAGTCATACCATGTGGCACAAAACAACTTTACTTGATCAGACTCGGGTAAAGGGGCTCTTTGAAAGGTTGCAGATGCCTGGTGTAGAACAAGAACAGGAGGGGATGGTAGGCCTCAGTTAGAGAAACCTTCCTTCTTTTCATAATTTCTCCCCTTTGTTTTATTAAAAACATCCTAATGACAGAAGGTAGTTTTTATTTCCATAATCCTGGAAGTATACCTGAAGCCAGCATGTTGGTGGATATACTCAAGAGCTGCTGAGAAGAGCACAAACAGGCTGCATCCCTCTGAGCCGAGGAGGTCCTTGGTGGCAAACACAATCATCCAGGTTTTCTTAAAATCGAATCTTTATTAATAGCAGATTCCAGGAAAGAGATTTACTGTCCAGCTCTGATGGAAGCTGCCTTCCAAATCTGCATTTGGATCTGGTGTCCTGTCAGATGAGCATATCCGTAGTCAATACGCATGCGCAAGATATGAGATCTGCGGTTATCCCTTCAGTTTTGTACAAAAAAAATAGACTTTGAACTACCTCAATGGGCATTTATCCCTCTAGACATGTACAAAAAAAACAATTGAAGGTCAGATCTCCATACGCTTCAAAAAACACCAAAAAGTAAGTAATTTAATAGATTTTGTACACGAATATAGGGATACACACCCATTGAGGTAGTTTAAAGTTCATGTTTCATACACAATTAAAGGGATAAACAAGTATTGACTGTGGGTATGCTGGTCTGACCGGGTATGCTCATCTGACAGAATTTCATAGGGTGTACACCTTAGTGCACCAAAACTTCAGGAGGTCGAGGCTATGCCGCACGGCGGTGCAAGCTTCTTGGGGTTAAATGACAATAGGGGGTTTTCAGGTGACGTCACGCTCACGTGACTACTCAGGGCGTCCGCCATATTGGGTGGCAGTCGTTTCGCACCGTTGACCCTGCATTGTATGATGCCTTAGGCAGTTTTGACAGTGAAAAATGGTGAAAACGTGTTTAATTGTTGGTTGCACGGCCCGTGGAGGTGGAGATCAACGCTCTTTGTATCGCATACCAGCCGTACTCGTGAATCAATGTGAAAAAACAAAACAGCTATCTGAACAACGCCGTCACCTATGGCTGACACGGATATCCAGGTCCGATTTGGACGGTGTTAAGCTGGAATACGCCAGAGTCTGCAGTGCTCACTTTGTCACAGGTAATTAACTGTCAAGCATTTAAAACATGTAAGAATATATTAATAATAGGGCTTGGGCGTCATGACGTATTACTTTCCGCGGCCGCAATGTTGACTGCCTCCGCCTTCGCTACTCAGACTACTGCCTATGACTACCGCGTACTGGACTCCCTCTCTCAGCCGTGTTTTAATTAGATTAATTTCACCTTAACTTGATTTCAACCAGCGGGAAAAGGCTCAAATATGTGAGAAACTCGGAGGGTTTAGGGAGGTTTGGCAGTTAACGTTACTAACCAAACCTTTGAAACACATAGCAGCTAGTTAAAAGTACATTACATGCCTGAGTGGTTGTTAGCACTAACGGGTAGCACTGTTTGCTGGCTTTATGAGCTGCAGCTCCTGAACCCATCCATTCGTAAACTGCACATGAGACTCCAAGGACTTGTAGCTTTGGAACTGTTCTGAAGTATAGGCGCTCACAACACAAACAAGGTAGCCGAAGACGTCTGATATGCAAAACGGTGGCAACAAGTCATTGTTTGGAACTTCATATGGATCCAAATTATTAATAATGCTGATTTTGTCAACATACCGGTCCCGGTAAATTTCAGATCCTTTTCGGATCGCGACATGATATATATGATATATACGATAATATGCCACCCAAGATGGCGGACCGGAAGCTGGCCAGTGACGTCACTGAAAACCCTCTATTGACATTTCTGGAATTGAACAGTAGGTATGGGGGTAGGGGTGGGGGGGCTAATTTGGGTTATAATCTTTGCTGGTCTTGGAATTGTTAACAGCCAGAGTTGGAATTCAATTCTTTCTCCAAATTCACAAGCTACTCATCAGTTATGTTGAAAAATATTAAATAAATAAATTTTAGTCCACAGACATCCTTATTCACTTGTTCACTTAAATTTACCCATTTTTTGTTTACAATTATATATTCCATCTAAAAATATCAGACATATTTTCAATTCAAACTATAGATTTGAAATAATACGTTATACCACATAATGGCTTAAATCATTTTACAGGTCATCAAATCGGTGTCAGTTTAGTCCGGAGGTCTTCAACGGGGGATCCGTGACCCCTAGGGGGTCTGTGGAGGTACTGCATGGAGGTCGCAAAAGTTTTGATTGAATACTTTTTTTTAATAATCCCCCCTGCAATTTTTTCCACTAATTGAAATGTATTTAAATGCACATTAGTATGAATTCAACACACTGTAGTAAACAGATAAATGGAGGCAGAAGATGTCTTTCAGTCATCAATGCACATGTTCAGCGACACACAGGAGCTCTTTCAAGATGGGAATGGTTTCATTCACAACACCTGTCCCATCAACCAGGAATCAGAATCAGAAATACTTATGTAATAGAGTGACTATAGAACCAGTTTGATATAACACAATTTCATACAATATATATCATTAGGGGGTCCCCGCTCCATCTCGCCATCAGTTTGTGGGTCCTTGGCCTGGAAAACTTTGAAGGCCCTGGTTTAGTCTGTCAAAGAGGTTGCATGTAGGGATTGTCCAGCAGGTGTCAGGATTCATTGACACAGTATAGACACAATATCAATACAGTTTGCTACTATGTCGAAACGCTTTAATGGCACCACATCACTAGACAGTACTGTTTCCAAGAACAAAAAACCCTCCAAAAGAATCCTATAGTTACCAGGCATTGGAAGAGTTTCCGTAAACTTTTCAAGCAAACAGGTAAGTTTGCAAGCAGTGCAACGTGCTTGTTCCCTTTATTGAACTTGTCCATAGGGATATTACAGTAGCAGCCATTCAAAATAGCCCTTCCCGGTCAAACACTAGCTGAATGACTGCCCACTTCCCTGCAACTCCCAGAGAAATCCCCTTCCAGCCACTGGACTGACGCCCTCTTGAATATTTTTTTACTCTTTTTTACACTTTGACTCCACCCTTTCACTGAATTACAGGAATTACCAGGACATGATGCTTCTCTTTAGATCTTAATGTCCACAAATCATGACAAACCCTGGTTCAGGACCCCTGGCACCTGGGGTTCAGGATTTGAGATGCTTGCTCTCAGCAGAGTTGGACCTTGCTTTCACCTGATTTTTCAGCTTTTAGACTTTTTTTTAGACTTTAGACAGATTTTATTTGTCATTTTGTTTACACAAGTGTAAAATAAAAAGAAATTTCGATTTGTAACAGCTCACTGGACAATTTCATCTTAAAAAAAAAAAAAAGGAAAATAAAGCTTTTAAAGGAGAAGTTCGGTTTTTTACACTTTAAGCCCATTTTCTGTAGTGTCCAGGATGAAATCGAATGATCGACACCAAAAGTTTGACAATTGGTCCTGTCTCTGCTTTTTGGCTCATTTAGAATCAACCCCTGGCTGCTTTAGAATGGCTTTCATAGAGCATGTCCGATAATGTCCTTAAAACAACCTTAAACGTTCTTTTTTTAAAATATGCTACTCACCGTGTCGTCAGCGCTGTTCAATGACGTTCCAAAAAAAGTTTCGTGAAGAAAAAACGTTCCTGTAGTGTTTTATTTAGCATTTTGTAAATCCCATTGAGTTCTGTAGGAATAGTCAATATTCCGCTGCCACCGGAAACGGAAATGGAGCCTGTTTACACAGTTGTAGTCTTTTCGCTTCACTCTGTGTACTCCGACGTCGAGAATCAAGAATCCACCTTTCGTATTCCATTTTCAGAGTTTTTTAAAGTGTTTAACAGAGACGTTAGCACCTCGACGTCGGAGTACACAGAGTGAAGTGAAAAGACTACAACTGTGTAAACAGGCCCCATTTCCGTTTCCGGTGGCAGCGGAATATTGACTATTCCTACAGAACTCAATGGGATTTACAAAATGCTAAATAAAACACTACAGGAACGTTTTTTCTTCTCGAAACTTTTTTTGGAACGTCCTTGAACAGCGCTGACGACCCGGTGAGTAGCATATTTAAAAAAAAAGAACGTTTAAGGTTGTTTTAAGGACATTATCGGACATGCTCTATGCAAGCCATTCTAAAGCAGCCAGGGGGTGATTCTAAATGAGCCAAAAAGCAGAGACAGGACCAATTGTCAAACTTTTGGTGTCGATCATTCGATTTCATCCTGGACACTACAGAAAATGGGCTTAAAGTGTTAAAAACCGAACTTCTCCTTTAATGCTACGTTCAGGCCTAAAGCAGCGAGAGCAGCAAAAACGTGTATGCTGCTTCATTTTTGATGATTGTACAAGTTTATTTGTGACGCACGCCTGAAGCATCTTCGCTGCTCTAGCTGGGCAGTCGAAAAGTGGGTCTGATGCGTATTGGGCGGAGCTACCCTATCCTTTTTTTTTGCCTGTAGCAATGGCAGCTATATATGCTGTGATCAGTGGGTAAAAAGTAGTTTGAATATGATTTTAAATGGGAAAATCCACTTGGAAACTTAATCTGTGCAGTCTGTTCATCCAGATTACCATTGCTGTCGGAGCCGCTCAGACCCCCACATACAGCAGATTGTACAAATAAATAAAATAGAATAAAAAACTATGTAAGGATATTCATGCATGGTTTGCCGCGGGGGCTGGAAAGCGTTTTTCATGTATGCAATCCAAACTGTAGGCACCAGGATAATAAAAGTGTACAAGTTTTTCCGGCAGATTTAGGCATTTTAAATTATATTTAGCGTTAATAAACTGCTTCAGAGAAGTGATCATAGTGATCTGCATCATCAGCGATGTGTCCGTCTTCCTGCCAGCTCCCAGATCAGCTTCTCTGATTGATTGATGTGGCAGCACAAAGTAAATTTTTCCAACACCACGTTCGCGCGTCAGATGCTCAGAAGATCACTTTGCTTGTAAACTAGCTGCTCCTGTTGCCTTTGCTGCTTCAGGTGTGAACGTAGCATTAGTTTTATCAATTCGTCTTGATTTAGCCGAGTTGTAAACAATGTTTGAAAAGTTTAATGATGGATTTAACTAGGGGCACTTGTCCGCTCTTCTGGTACTTTGTGGCTTTGAAGAAACTACTGATCTATATGAGAAGACAGACTGAAGGGAAACTCAACGTTCAGATGCCTCAGAGTTTGGGTTCCTGTCAAACATCTCAGTGACGTGTTGTAAATGGGCGCTTTATAGCAATTTATCTGGAATATTACTGCTAGTTTATGCTGTTTGCATTTCCAGTCTAATCTGGTCTAAAAGAGATAAGAGGAGGTAATAAACGGCCATTCAGCCGCCTGCTTTAATCCGAGATAAGAAGGCTGGAGCTTAAACTGCAACAATGGGCAGCTTGGCTCCGATTCATACCAGTAATGTTAGTCTGCTTCACATTTTGATATATTTTTGAAATGAGGGTCAGAAATGTATGATATCAATGAAACGGCCATCAGCCACATTCATCCAAAATAGACCACATTGTTCAGTTTTTGTTTGATATTTTTTACAGGGTTTATTTGCAAGTGCCTGCATGTCAGTAAAAGTATTTTCTATAGAAAATTTTCTGAACCAATCTTATCCGTTCCCAGGGAGGTGGACTGGTTTTCCCTGGTCGGGGTCATCAGCCTGCTTTGCTTTGCTCCCTTCATCGTCTTTTACTTTGTGATGGCGTGCGATCAGTACGACTGCTCCGTCAGCCAGCCTCTCTTAGAGCTTTACCAAGGAAAGGCAACCGTGCTCTCCATCTGGGCCCGGGCCCCCTCCTTCACGTGGACTGCTGCTAAGATCTATGCTGTGTGGGTGAGCTTCCAGGTGAGGTTTGCAGCGATCCGTCGGTGCATGGCTCAGAAACCTGTCCTGTTCCTCATGCCTGGCGTCTTGTCTTCCAGGTCTTCCTCTATGTGTGTGTTCCTGACGTCACCCATAAGGTGGTTCCAGGCTACGTGGGCGGGGTGCAGGACGGCGCTCGTACCCCTGCTGGTCTGCATGCTCTTCTGATATAAAACCACAAACACGCATGCTTTCTTTTCTGACACTCTGTGTTCTCCTTCTCTCAAGGTCTCATTAACAGGTATGAGATCAACGGGCTGCAGTGTTGGATCATCACCCACGCGCTGTGGTTTGCAAACGCCAACTATTTCCACTGGTTTACTCCCACCATCCTCTTTGACCAATGGATCCCCCTGATGTGGTGTGCCAACATTCTGGGCTACGCCGTATCCACCTTTGCCTTTCTGAAAGCCTACCTGTTCCCCACCAATGCTGAAGACTGGTGAGCTCTGCTGCTCTGATCCACATTACTGTATATACTGATGGTAACAAAACGTCACCTCCATGTTTGTGACCTCAAAGCAAGTTTACAGGGAACGTCTTCTATAACTACATGATGGGAATTGAATTCAACCCACGAATTGGCAAATGGTTCGACTTCAAGCTTTTCTTTAATGGCAGACCCGGCATCGTTGCCTGGACCCTCATCAACCTGTCCTACATGGCCAAGCAGCAGCAGCTGTACGGTCACATCACCAACTCCATGGTTCTGGTCAACGTGCTGCAGGTAAGGAAGGAAGATGAGCTCCTGGTACCTGAATCACTAGGGAAGCAATCCGTGGCTTTTTTAATGGACCAGGGTTTGTTTCTCCCTTTGTTGGTCTGAAACAATGAGGACTAGGGGTGTGGGAAAAAATTGATTACGCAATATGTCCTGATTTTTACCCAATATAATATCGATCTTTGAGTTCCTGATATCAGTTTAAAAAATCAAAACATTTTAACCTAAAACAATGAGGGAAAATTGGGCTACCTCTCCACCACCACTGATAGATGGCACTGTGGAGTCCTTTTGCTGTGCAGTGCAGAGCCATATCTGTAGTTGAGGCAGTCATGACTCAAACCTCAAACAACATGGATGCCAAAATTACGGAACAATCGCTATCTTCTGATGAGTATTTTCAGCACTTGCTTTTTTCCAATTTGATAGATAGTATAAATATTGCAATATAAAGTGATATTGCAATATTGTGATAATATTGTATTGTAACCCAAGTCAATCAATCAATAAATCAATTTCTTTATTGTCAACTACAATTTACATTGTATTTGAGATTTGAGTTTCAGTACAAACCATTCGAACAATTTACTGGGGCCGTGTGTGCTGCAGAATGCTGCCTTTGGTGCATTCTTATGGCTGCCAAGGGCCCCACACTGAGTCGGTTCCCTATAGCGCTGCCTTTAGGTACCGTGACATATCGTATCGCAACACCTTGACACTCCTCGCCCTAATGAGGGCTCTGAAACATTTTATCTTCTTAAAGAACAACAGACTCAGAGCAAGAATGAAGCCAGAAATGTAGAAAGATAAAGAATGTCTATCCAAGACACCTCCAGTGGCAGTTTTGGCCTTTAAACCGGGAAGTAGGCCAGAAAGACCAGTGAGCTGTTTGGTGACAAACCCTCAGCCTCATCTTCGCCTCTTCATCACTGTTTGCTGCCAGTTAATAATCAGCATAATTGTAATTAAATTAGACCCAGTTTTCGAGGTGTAAGGTCCGTAAAGAGGTGATCTGCTCACTGTTGCTTTGCAATGCTGCTGTAGGTGTAGGTACCAGATCTCCTTGGGCACTGCGCATGCTACTGATGTTTCGCTTCATGATTAGCTGATCATTGCCACATGATGTAAAAAAATTGCAGTTGCCCAGAAAGCGATAATTACATCACGCAGCGTCAGTGTGCCAAGTCAGGAGCATCTGTAGTGTTAGCGTTTCTAATGATCAATGAAGTTTCATCTGAATGATAACAAAACAAAAAAATCAGTTTCTGGTGAACAAATTCACTGCAAGACGATGATATGAAGGGGGAGAGCTGGGTAGCACTGTAGCTAGCTGTGCTCAGTAGCTAACAGGTTAGCCTCTTTTAGCTCGGGCAGCTAGCCATTTTACGATACACTACTTTTAAATTTGTGTCAACAACAACCATTCATTTTCTACAAGTAGAGTACCGTATTTTCACGACTATAAGGCGCACATAAACGTCTTTTTTTTCCCTCAAAATGTGCGGTGCGCCCTTTGGTGCGGTGCGCCTTATGTGTGTTGTAACTGCGACTTTTGAGACCACCTCATTGAGGAGATGATGAGAGTGGCTGAATGTAAGGAGACCAGGTGGTTTTTTTTCCACTCATCACCATCGCTGTTAATCTGTGACTCCATGCGTGCCCATCTCACAGCTGATGTGAAAAACATGGTGAAACAAATTAACGCTGTGCTTGCTGTTATTCAACCGCTCGACATCGGTGTGAACCGGACGCAGCAGGTGCAGCAGAAGCAGCAAGTTTACATGCAAAGTCAATGGTTGACGCGCGTATAGGCACAGCAAAAGCTCCCGTAGCGCGTTGGGAGCGTTTAAGCATCTGCTGCTCTGCTGCTGCTCGAGATGGAAAAATTGAAGTTTTGCTGCTGGACGCGCCGCATCAACCAATCAGAGAAGCTGATCTGGGAGCTGACAGCGAGACAGACACATCGCTCTGATGACATATGATATTAAGGCAAATGAAAAGGGCTGGATGGATGAGGAGATGATGAAAGAGTGGCTGAGGCAGGTGTATGTGAGGAGACCAGGTGGTTTTTTCCACGCATCACCATCGCTGTTAATCTGTGACTCCATGCATGCCCATCTCACTGCCGATGTGAAAATAAAGGTGAATCAAATGAACGCTGTGCTCGCCGTTATCCCGGGGGTCTGACAAAGGAACTTCAACCGCTCGACATCGGTGTGAACCGGACGTTCAAAGTAAGGCTGCGAGCGGCGTGGGAGCGATGGATGACAGACGGAGACCACAGTTTCACGAAAAGTGGAAGGCAGCGCCGGGCAAGTTACGCCACAGTTAGCGGATGGATTGTAGATGCTTGGAATAATGTGTCTGCTGGCACTGTTGTTCGAGCTTTCGCAAAAGCCGGCATTATTTCTGAGAAGCCGCCCGGCACGGAAATTGACTCTGACAGCGAAGAAGGGAAAATTTGCATGTCTGATTTAGCGCAGCTGTTTAATTCAGAAACAGAGGATGATGACTTTGATGGGTTTGATTAATACTTTGTAATAAATACTTGAATAAAGCACAATCGTACTCAGTTTTGCTCCCGCTCTATTTTTCTACCTGAAAACTTAATTCAACAGCAGCCTCTGGGCCGGGTCGCCTCCTCTTCACCGCGGCGGCTGGCAGGTGTTTTTTCATGTAAATAATCTAAATCTTGCAGCTATATTTGCTGTGATCAGTGGGAATAAAGTAGTTTTAATATGTTTTTAAGTGAGAAAGTCCACCTGAAAACTTAATCATTGCAGTCAGTTCATCTAGATTATCATCCTGCCTATACTATTTCTGTCGGAGGCGCTCAGACCCCCACATACCAGCGGTACACCGACAGTAGAAATCCCTTCAACAGCAGCCTCTACAGTAGGCCCGGTAGCCTCCGGGTTCACCACGGCGGCTGGCAGGTGGTTTTCATCTAAATAATTTAAACTGCAGGCACCAGGATACCGGCAATAAAAGCGAACATATTCCGTCGGCAGGTTTCAGGATTTTAAGTTAATTTAGGAGTGATCACAGCGCTCTGTCATCTGCGATGTGTCTGTCTCACGGCCAGCTACCAGGTTTGATTAATACTTTGTAATAAATACATGAATAAAGCAAAGTCATACTCAGTTTTGCTCCCGCTGTATTTTTAAATACGCAGTAGAGGTATTTAAAGGTAGTAGAGGACATGTACCTGTATATAAAAAACGCGCCCTATAGTCCGGTGCGCCTTATGTGTGTGTTAAATACAGAAATGGCACACATAACTGAGACTGCGCCTTTTAGTACGGTGCGCCTTATGGTCGTGAAAATACGGTAACTGTATTATTTGTCTAAAATCTTTACCAAAGTCATTTATTAAGATGTTCCATTTTTCCTTCTCTGCCCTCAGATCTTAATAAAAAGAATAAAAATAAGCTGAGACTTTTTTTGTCACCTTGGTAAATGGCAGAGCTCAGTCTGTCTTAAAACGCAGTATTTTCCTTCCAGACTGACAATGATTGTTTTCTACTTTAGATCGCCAATGAAATGTAGAATAATAGCAAATATAGGTAATAATATGTTGAGACTCCAAAAGAGATTTGATCCTTAAAAAAACGGGTGCAATCTTTTTTTCCTAGTGGATTTGCCATATGTTGACGTCATAAGAAGCAGATCTGGTACCTACATCGGCATGCTGATGTACATTCTCCCACGCTGATCCACAGTTAGACCTGAGATGTCCTTGAAAAATGTTCCTTATATAAGTCGAATAGATCGTAGTTTAGTTTATAGAAATACTAAGATTGGGTCAAACTGAAGGAAATAAATTAGTAGAGCTGGGTTTTCAAAAACCAACCATATTTTTTAAAACCCAGTCATAATACAGAAATACTTCAGCATTGGCGTCGATACTGAACACCAGGTGACATAATTTTGCTTTTTTTCATTTATTAGGTTTCTGGATTTTTTGACATATTAAAAAGAGAAGTGGCCAAATGAATCAGCCCCTGCTACAAAGAATGGGTTAGACTAATGCTGGGATCGTCATGGTTAGGAACCAGGACCTGTCCTCTGTGGAAAGAATAATCCCACCTTTCAGGCCTGAGAAGTTTTGCAAAGGATGTGCAGCTTCTGCCAGGGGAGTGGTTCTCGCTGGTTGAGCTCCATCAGACATTTTTCAGTGATTTATGCCTCTGCTGTAAAAACCTTGACCTCATTCAGTCTGCTATTAAAACATCTTATCTGTGTTTTATCACAGCAATAAATCCTGATAAAGACTTTCATTTTTTATCTCTGATTTGACTCGGATCAAAACAACAAGCTGTTAATATTCACATTAACTAGCCGTTGATTAGCCACCACCCTACCGGCCACACAGAGGCGCCACCCTGACAGGTTGGGTCAATGGGTCTGTAGTAGAGAGTAGATTAATCAGTAAGACGCCACTTTTCCCTTGGCACATGGGAATGATAGATGATAGGAGCTGCAACACAGCATAATAAAAAGATATACTGAGTTAATCTTAACATTGGGTGTGTTCGAATTCATGGGCTGCGTCTTCCAAGGACAAGGACTACCTGGACTGGATCCTTTAAAGTCTGTGAAAATAAGGAGACTCGAAGAGTTTTGGCTGTGAATTCAAACAGGTCCAGCCTTCCACGGCTTTCACCGACGCAAGCTCTGTTGCACAAAACAGGAAAACAATAAATACTAAACTTTTCTAAACTCTTTCCTTTTAATTTTTTTTTTTTTTTTTAAGTGAACAAAGACTCATGAGAATCCAGAATGGAATAAAGGTGCCAACTACCAGGAGCATGAACAAATAAAAGGAAATGTAATGATAGAAACCTTAGTTAGTTAAATAACACAATGTCATTTTGCACATCATTTTGTTGCTATTTTAGAATATCCATTACTGTAAACATGTCCATAGCTGAATATTGGTTATTTATTCTCCAGGTGCACAGATTTATGTTGTTAAAACACATTACAGGGCAGTATTTTATTGTTAATCTTTTAACTCTTCACTATCATGTTATTCTTAGACATTTTTTAGTAACCTTTTTGCTGCTGTAGAGACCTGAATTTCCCCATTATGGGACAGTAAAGGGATTTTCTATTCAATTCTACTCTACTGTACTGTATAAAAGGGGTAGAAAGATGATATATATAAATCTAAACAATGTGTGTATAAAAATATATCCGCAAAATCTTTGATATTTCTCTTTATTGGCTCCCTGTTAAATCCAGAATGGAATTTAAAATCCTCCTTCTCACATGTAAAGCCTTAAATGGCCTAGCTCCATCTTATGTCAGAGATCTGATTGTTCCTTATGTTCCGAACAGAGCACTTCGCTCTCAATCTGCAGGTTTACTAATGGTTCCTAGAATTTCTAAAAATAGAATGAGAGCCAGATCTTTTAGTTATCAGGCTCCTCTCCTGTGGAACCAACTACCAGTTTTAGTCCCTGAGACATAACCCTATCTGCTTTTAAGGGTAGGCTTAAAACTTTCCTTTTTGATAAAGCTTATAGTTAGAGTGGCTCAGGTTATCCTGAGCTATCTCTATAGTTATGCTGCTATAGGCTTAGACTTCTGGAGGACATAGGGCCTCCCATTTCATCATTCTGCTTCATTCTATCTCTTCTCCCACTGCAGAATCTGTTCAATCTCAAATTTGCTCTCTCTGCTTTTTTTAATAGTAGCTTGGCCTCGTCTGTTCCTGTTTGAGAGAAATATCAGCTGTGCTGCTGCCATCAGCACCGTTGTTTATAGATGTTGGAGATCGGCCTGTTTCCAGTACAGTCCTGTTTCTCTGACTGTGACTGGCTGGATGTGCTCTCTTTATCCTCTGACCTGGGAATTGGCTCAGAGCTTGTCTGCCTGGCTATGTGTTTCCTGGAACGGGCTGCCTTTTACAGTTGCCTTTTGTATCTCTGCTTCTGTCTCCTTGAACCCCAGTCAGCTTCAGCAGATGACCGCTCACACTGAGCCTGGTTCTGCTGGATGTTTCTTCCTGTTAAACTGGAGTTTTTCCTCTCCACTGTCGCTACAGGCATGCTTAGTGTGAGGGATTGCATTCGAGTCAATAAGTTGATGCAATCAACTGGTTTTCCTTAGATAGAAAACTTTGAATAAATTTGACTGGATGATCTGGTTGAACTGTAAAGTGCCTTGAGATGACGTACTGTGAATTGGCGTCATATAAATAAACTGAATTGAAATTAAATTGAATATTAAGCAACATAAAATGCTTAGTTAAGCAAATTGTGCGAAATAGCAATAAAAGAATAAAAATCTTGTCTGATTTATAGTCCCCTTATTGTAGATATATTAGAATCTGTTCCTAAAATACAGCAAAACCCATTTACACACTAACAAATAAAAATATTTGTATAAATTAAACATTACCCGCCACTAAAACAACTATTTTCATTAATTTTAGAAGGAACTATTCACATGCTTTTATCATAATACACTGACCTTCCAATATTTACCACTGTTCGGCGCCAAGTACCTTTTTCCTCTGCAGCCAGTCTTGCTTGGTCTCGCAATGAACCCTGGGATATCCAAAGCTAGATAGGATGCATCGGACCTGTCCTTCAAATCAGGCAAAAAGAAGGACGCATTTGTCGGCCACATAACCAGGAGTCTTGGAATCCGACCAGACCTCGGTGCTGCGCTATGATGTAATCGGCCTTTGAATCTGAAGACTCATCCCATGAATTCGAACTCACACATTACATCCTGTTGGTGCTAAACATTCATAAAACGTCTAGCTGGTATTAGCCCACATCAATAAAATGTGCTGATTGATTGAAAGGATGGCGTTCTCATCGTCCTTTAGTCAACCTCTGATGCTGGATCTAGTTCAGTTCCTCTCCAGCTTTTACACACACAGCTGAATGCTTAACTGTAACCTGGAAGAACAGATTCAATCTACTAAAAGCAGAATTCTCACTTTTACTGCTGGATTTATTTATTTTCATGCTTGCAACATTCATGTAAATGAAATTGATAAAAGATGCAGTAATCACCTTACTAATGTCAGTGACTGTATTTTTTTCTCATAGGGTATTTATGTGTTGGATTTCTTCTGGAATGAGGCCTGGTACCTGAAGACCATTGATATCTGCCATGACCACTTTGGCTGGTATCTGGGCTGGGGGGACTGTGTGTGGCTGCCCTACCTCTACACCCTGCAGGTAACCCTCCACTACAGCCTGCAGATAACCCTCTGTAGTAACTCTTTACACCCCACACCCTGCAGGGTGCGGGGTGGGGAAGTGGCAGTCTAGTGGTTAGACCATAGAGCTTGGAATACAGTGAGGTTGTGGGAGTTTGAGCCCCGCTCCTACAGACTGCCACTCTGGGTCTCTGAGCAGGACCCTTAACCCACTGATCTCTATTTATTCAACGGATTGTTGATTGCGGCATGCTGGTACTTCCCACTCCCACGGTGATTCGCAGTAAAAATGCCTGCCTGTGTAGCATTTGGCTGCAAAAACAAGAAGTTTGCCGGCTGTGGGAAGACGTTCCACAGATTCAATTCAATTCAGTTTATTTATATAGCGCCAAATTCACAACACATGTCATCTCAAGGCACTTTACAGTTCAACCAGATCATACAGTCAAATTGATACAAAGTTTTCTATCTAAGGAAAACCAGTTGATTGCATTGACTCATTGACTCAAATACAATCCCCCACACTAAGCATGCTTGTAGCGACAGTGGAGAGGAAAAACTCCCTTTTAACAGGAAGAAACCTCCAGCAGAACCAGGCTCAGTGTGAGCGGCCATCTGCCGAGGCCGACTGGGGTTCAAGGAGACAGAAGCAGAGATACAAAAAGCAGCTGTAAAAGGCGGCCCCGTCCAGGAAACACACAGCCAGGCAGACGAGCTCCAAGGCAGCTCCCATGCCAGAGGACGAAGAGAGCACATCCACTCAGTCACGGTCAGAGAAACAGGACCACACTGGAAAACAGGCCGATCTCCAACATCTATTAACAAGGGTGTTGATAGAAGCAGCACAGCTGATGTTTTTTTCCAGGATGACGTCACAGCCAAACAGGAACAGACGAGGCAAAGCTACTCTGAGGAAAAGCAGAGAGAGCAGAAGGTTAGAGATTGAACTAACAGATTCTGCAGAATAGGAGAACAGAGAGAGAATGAAGCAGAATGATGAAATGGGGGTCCCTATGTCCTCCAAAAGTCTAAGCCTATAGCAGCATAACTATAGAGATAGCTCAGGATAACCTGAGCCACCCTAACTATAAGCTTTATCAAAAATGAAAGTTTTAAGCCTAGCCTTAAAAGTAGACAGGGTGTCTGCCTCACGGACTAAAACTGGTAGTTGGTTCCACAGGAGAGGAGCCTGATAACTAAAAGATCTGCCTCCCATTCTACTTTTAGAAATTCTAGGAACCACTAGTAAACCTGCAGATTGAGAGCGAAGTGCTCTGTTAGGAACATAAGGAACAATCAGATCTCTGATATAAGATGGAGCTTGGCCATTTAAGGCTTTATATGTGAGAAGGAGGATTTTAAATTCTATTCTTGATTTAACAGGAAGCCAATGAAGAGAAGCCAGGATAGGAGAGATATGATCTCTCTTTTTCATTTTCATCAGAACTCTGGCTGCAGCATTTTGGATCAGCTGAAGGCTTTTAACTACAGTTTGTGGACTTCCTGATAGTAAAGAATTACAATAGTCCAGCCTTGAAGTAACAAATGCATGGACTAGTTTCTCAGCATCACCCCTGGACAGGATATTTCTAATTTTTGCAATGTTCCTCAGATGAAAGAAGGAAATTCTAGAAACCTCTTTGATATGGGATTTAAATGACAGGTCCTGATCAAAAATAACACCAAGATTTTTTACTTTATTATCTGAAATCAGTTTAATCCCATCCAAATGAAGTGACTGGCTAATCAGTTTCTTTTTCAGAGACTCTGGTCCAAAGACTATAACTTCTGTTTTGTCTGCATTCAGAAGCAGAAAATTAAGAGTCATCCAGGTTTTTATGTCTTCAAGACATGCCTGTAATCTATGTAATGGGTTAGCTTCATCTGGATTTATAGACAGATATAGCTGGGTATCATCAGCATAACAGTGGAAATTAATCCCATGCTGTCTAATAATTCTACCAATTGGGAGCATGTATAAAGTAAAGAGATTTGGTCCTAGCACTGATCCCCGTGGTACTCCACACGTAACCTTTGAGCGTGTTGAAGATCTATCATTAACATGAACAAACTGAATTCGATCAGATAGATAAGATTTAAACCAGTCTAGTGCTGTTCCTTTAATTCCAACAAAATATTCAAGTCTTTCTAAAAGAATATTATGGTCAACTGTATCAAATGCAGCACTAAGATCCAACAGGACGAGCACAGATACAAGTCCATTATCTGAGGCCATGAGAATATCATTAGTGACTTTCACCAGAGCTGTTTCAGTGCTATGATGAGCTCTAAAGCCAGACTGAAACTCTTCAAAAAGTTCATTATGGTGGAAGTGATCGCAAACTTGTTTGGCAACTACTTTCTCAAGAATTTTGGATAAGAAAGGAAGATTGGATATAGGTCTATAATTGACCAAGTCATCTGGGTCAAGAGACGGTTTCTTAAGCAGAGGTTTAATTACAGCAATCTTAAAAGCTTTAGGTACATATCCCTGTAACAGAAATAGATTAATCACATCTAAAATGGAGGAGGAGATCAAAGGGAATACCTCCTTAAATAACCTGGTTGGAACTGGATCTAACATACAAGTTGAAGGCTTAGATGAAGACAATAATTTTGCTAATTCAGAGAGTTCAACTGGATCAAAGCAGTCTAAACCCGGTTCAGATTCCATGACTACCTCAGGTACAATCGCGGATAGAGGAGTGCTTATGATCTTATTTTTAATAAGATCAATCTTATTTATAAAGAATCCCATAAAATCATTGCTGCTAAGAGCAGGTGGAATGGACGGTTCAACAGAGCTATGGCTCTGGGTGAGTTTGGCAACTGTATTAAAAAGAAATCTAGGATTATTCTTATTCTCCTCTATTAATGAGGAGAAGTATGCTGCTCTTGCTTTACAAAGGGTCCTCTTATACAGCAGTAAACCATTTTTCCAGACTAGGAAGGACTCTCGCAGGCCTGTGGAGCGATATTTTCTCTCCAGTTTCCTAGCATTTTGCTTCAAAGTACGCAGCTCTGCATTAAACCAAGGAGCAAGCTTTCTATTTTTAACGGTTTTCATTTTCAAAGGAGCTGCGTTGTCTAAGGCAATACGGAGAGAACTAGCAACCCCCTCAACAAAATCATCAACCTGTGAAGGGGAATAAGCTAAGCTTTTGCACTCTGCAGCACTGCTCAGTGACACAGAGCAGAGAGAAAGTGAAGCAGATTCTTTAAAATTTATAACTGCACTATCTGATAAAGATCTACTAAAATTGAACCTTCTTTTGGGGGAGGAGATAATGTCACAGTCAGTGGATGGACTAACCAAGAAAATCCACATATAGGCCGATGGATCCTGTAGTATAATATGGAGTGTAACATTAGTCTGGTTATCTCGGACTGACTGGAAGATATTGACTGAGTTAACCATTGACATTGTGTCTAACGTTACAAAATAGAGTAAATAGAAATTAATTCACTGTAAAATGTCAATGTAGTAATTCTTTAGTAAGTACATAATGCTGTTGTTTTTGTAGTGTTGTATATTGCATGTTAACATTAACATTTTTAAAGGCTAATGCACGGACACAGCACAAAGGTATATGGCTTCATGCATGCACAATTTGCATATAGGAAAATACTATAGCATTAAGAGACATGTACTTGTAATACAGTCTTGATGTAAAACTTTTAAATGATATATAAGATGCAATTACCACGTCATCAATACATGTATATTACATGTACATCATCAATTTAGCACTTTTGGCACATCTGTATTATTATGCTCCATTAACACCTTAACTGTATTGTGATGGATTTGTATAATATGTCTTATTACATAATGGATATACTTCATAATGACTATGCAATTTGATGTGCCTGTATTTGTTTTATTATTAGTTACAGTAATCTAATTATGCTATGAAACAGCAAGTGTTGTTATTTTAAAAGTCTTACGCCCTCCTGAAAATGAGAATGTCATCTTTATTCGATGCTGTAGTGCATGGGTGACCGGTCTTACTACGGAGTACCAATATGGCGGCTGGTTGCTTCATTTCATCCCTGTACTACCAACTGACTACACTGCATGAAAAGTGAGATTTTCGTCCCCGTAAACCCCCGTAAACTCCCGCAGATCTGCCTGATTTTCGTCAGTTTCCGACAATTTGCAACCCGTGCTTGTCCGCGTTTGTCGTGCCACAAATTGTCGAAAACGTACCGTGACGTATGTGGAGAGCGATCAGCTGTGCTGATGGCCCTAATTAGCATATGAATACAGCAAACCCGCGCGGCTGGCCAAGTCTGGCTTGAATAACCTACTCAGTATTGGCTGAAACCACTATTCTCAAACAAGTAAAATCGCTCATGATTGGCAGCAAAACCACACGTGGCCACGCCAGGCTTTAATTTTCTTACTGAGTATTGGACGGAACCACTTCTTTTTAAACAAGTAAAGTCGCTCGTGATTGGTTGGCATATATATATATTTACATATAAATTTACATATATATATTTATATATATATATATATATATATATTTATTCATTCATATATTTATTCATTCATATGGTGTGTATTTATGTTATCCTACACTACTACACAATTATGCTACCATCAAGGACATGAATGAATTTATACAGGAAATGAAGATTTGCAGGAAGCTGTTTATGCAAAGAAAGAGCTTTATTAAAACACACACAACTATATACAACGCGTATCCAAACACATGCGTTTCTAAAAATTAAAAGTCTGTGAATGGTCCGTTTGCTTCCTCGGGGTTGGAGGTAACTGGCAGCATTCCCTCCGAGGCAGGTCCGATGTGCAGACGCCTACTGTGCGTGGCCCTGTACTTCGGCATCGCTTCTAACCGGGACTGCAGCTTAACACAGAGTTCAGTGAGATCCGGCCTACGAAATGGCGGCGACCGTACAATCCATCCAGAGACACCGCCGAGGAAGGCGGACTTCCAGAGTTCCACTTCCTCATCTGCTAGCACACTCTGCCTCGCTTTCAGCAGCTGAAAAAAAAAAAACAATGAATCAGCGCACTGCGTATGGACACAACACATCTATCAATGCACCTGAAAAATAGTCACCAAATAAAGTCTTACCCTCTTTCTTCTGGCCCGACTCCGAGCAGATTGCCTCCGCACGCAGCGTGTGGCTAGCTGCGTATATCTGAAGCTCCTGCGTACCGTCTCAAAATACGTCTTACAGGCAGCTGGAAAACAATTAAATGAGAGTGGTATAAATAAAAAATCAAACGCAAGTCACAGTAACAAGGAAGGAGAAAACATTAAAACAAGTCACTTACACACAATGTCGTCTTTATCAACATCGTGCAAATCTGGACTTGCCGAGATGGGAGGTCTGTGAAAACAAAATGTAGAGCTATGATCGGTATCTATCCGTATCCATTGCCTTTACCGCAGAATGAAAGCATATTCTTTAAATCTTACCCTTGCTCTGGTTCATAGCGCCTGCAATTAGTCTCCGAGTTGTTAAGACGGCGTACTGCTTTCTGTAAATCACAAAAAATACACTTTAGTAAAGCTTGTTCTAGCAAGGCTACTATTAGCCGCTATTAGCCGTAGCTCAGGCTAGGCCGCTTTTAGCTTAGCAGGCAGTAATCGAACATATATTTACCGCTAGCATCTCTTCTTTGAGTTCGTCTTGTTCGATGCAGAGTCGCCATCGCGTCCAAGAGGAGTTTTACCCCGAAATCCAGACGCTCTAGACCGCTGCACAAAGCAAAGAATCCATCCTCCGCTGTGGCTGCAGAGCTCCGCTCTGAGTTTCTTGGAGATGGTACAGAGCATGCGCGAGATGAACCAGGGTGTCCGCGGATCAATAAAAATAATTAAAAAATCATTCTTTTTTTTTTTTTTTTTAATCAAGGCCTTAATTGGCACTAAAATTATTTAAATATGTTTATCGAAGTATTTATAATTCTTTAATAAAAAATGCTTATAAAAACAATTTCGTCGGATATATTATATCGCTCCAGGCGGAGAAAAAGCTAGAGGATATATATATATACGTATATATGTGTGTGTGTGTGTGTATGTGTGTGTGTTTACATACATACAGGAGTCATGGAACTCTGCTTACAGCTCCTTCATATTTCATGTACACTAATAACTTGTGTACATGGTTCTTGATGATGGCATTAAAATCATTTCTAATAGCATTTAAATAGCATTAAATTAGAGTCACTCATTCCTGTATGAACCCTGTGAGCGATTAATTTAATATGACATATTAAAAAAATCCCACCATCATCCAGCATATGTTCATTTTCTGCCCAAATATATATTTATATTTTTGTAGATTTTTGTAACGGGGATAAGGATAATTCAAAACTGCTTTTTTTTTAATGAACTTGTTCTCTACTTCCAAACTCAGCATCTCTTTCCATTCCTGTAATAAGAAGTTTCTTTTGAATGGATTTGATTAAAGTTTAAGTCCCTCGGTATAAAATAAATATTTTGATGGAGATGAGAAATCTGCTTCCTCGTTGGTGAATAACCAATAGTTTGGATCCAATCATTTAAATAAACGGTGTTAGTTTTTTTTTATATATATATATATATATATATATATATATAAGAATTGTGCTATAATTTCTAGTCACCGATCTGTTGCTGCTATATTTTAATTTGACGAACCGGAATTTGTCGATGTTCTTTTTCCTGTTTGGTGTGATTGCAATTGCGGATCTTGACCTGGCCGGACCTTATGACCACAGTGTACCAATCTTCTCATGGCTACTTCCAACAGGATAATGCGCCATGTTATAAAGTGAATCATCTCAGACTCATTTCTTGAAACTTTTCCACTTAAGTAATTGTGAATTGAGCATATTGAGAGACAACATTTTATTTTTTATCTTAAATGCAATTTTTTTTTTTATAATTACTGCTCTAAATGTATTGCTCTGTCAGCTAAAGATCTGTTTTGGTCTCTATACTTTAATTAAATAAATCAATTCAAGCTAAAATGTAAGAGGCTATACTAAGCCTGATCTCTTTGTATCAGAGAATTTCTTACCCAGAAAGATGTCACTTGGGGTAAAACCCCCCCTGCAACCCTGGTTTGCATTTGTATAGCTCACAGCATGTTCATTTACATGTTAAAGCCTCCCCTAGAATTCCATGGGGGGGAGGCATGGGGGGAACACTGCCTAAGAGAGTCCACGTCAATTTCTGACAATTTACGGGAGTTTTCGGCGAAGCCTGCAAATTGTCGTAAACTGCCGCTAACCTGAAGTTCCACGACAATCTACAGTGCCGCATATTGACGAAAATCCCACTTTTCATGCAGTGCTATCAGCAATCCATTGAATAACTAGAAAAAGCTGTTTCGTAGAAACAGCAAGTGAGAATGCGTTTTCTGCTGAATAAAAAATAAGCTGAAATTAGCTGAAGAACATATGAAAATGTGATAGGAAGTCATCAGACAAATTGCAGAAAACAATTGAATCATCAGAACATGTTGTAGGGTAGGATCATTTGGCAGTAAAATGGCAGAAACAGACTCATCTTAAATGCTGCACAGCCAAACCATACATGATATCAAAAAAAAAAATTACATCAGAGCACTAGAAGGGACTGAATATAATATCTCTCAAGTTTCTAGAAAAATTTCAAAATACATACTGCCCATACACATGTCAGGCATATTATGAATTAGCAGCACAAACAGAAAAACTTAATCCCTGTCCAGAAAAAGAGCAGAATGAAGCAAAAGTTCACAACATAGGCTGAAAGTATTAAATTAGCAGACTCAGAAAAGAAATTAGAAAGAAACACTGGAATCTTATCTGGTTGAAGAAAGAAGGAGTAGCTTAAGGATAGGAAGTAAAATGTTGAGAAAGATGGAATTGAATAAGTATTAACATTTTGAAATCATATGTGGGAATGTCAAGACTTGGCAAAACCATTTGAAATTAATTAAAATGTGTCAGTTAATCAAAATTGAGAAAACTGTCATCCTTAGAGGCTTGACAATGTGCAAGACTGACCATGAGAAGAGGAGGAAGGACAGAGAGAGAAGCTTATAGAAAGTGAGCAAGTACCTGTTCAAAATCTAACCTACATGTTAAGAGCCGTTGTAGTGATGAAAGCACCATTGGCAGGCTTAGGCTGCATGTTACGAGGTTAGCAGATGCTTTATTACAGTGGAAATGTTAGAGCCTTATTAAGAAATGTGCACTGAGGTGTGTTGTTAACAGGCATTGGTAGTGTAATTTGAAGAAAATGGTTGAGTGTGGGTCATAGCTACGAACCATACGGCACAATGAATGAGTGTGCATGAGGAAGAAGCTTTCATTTTGTAGAGTCGCTTTAGGGCCTCCTGAAGCTGCACCAGCTGCTGCAGTTTCAAGTCTCCCCTTACTACTGCTGAGGTGTCAACAGGCCTTGGTATTGTAATTTGAAGAAATTGGTTTAGTTCATAAGGAAGTCATAAGGAAGAGGTTTTTATTTTGTATGGTCCCTGGAGTCTTATTTTGAAAGTCTAGCAGGGTTGTATGTTGAGGAAAATGCCAGACCCAACATTGATACTTGATGAATTTCCAATCATTGAATTCCTCTTTTTACCTGTTATTAGGTCTATAGATAAAGCGGCAATGGGAGGCTTTTATTTTGAAATTTGCCATTGGGTGCGTTTTGAAAAGCCCCCTAGAGTCTAATTTTTTAAAAGTGGTTGAGTTTGGGTCATAATATTGAGCCATATGCTGCAAAAATATATAAGTATAATGTAAAGGCTTTTATTTTGTAGGGTCCCTGGAGACTTATTTTGAAAGACTGGTCATAGCCAGTAGTCATATAGTATCCGTGATCAGAGGAAAGGTTACTTGGCGCCGAACTGTGGTGAAAATTGGAAGTGCAGTTTAATATGATACAAGTATGGGAATAGTTCCGTCTCAAATGAATGAAAATAGTTGTTTTAATGGTTAAAGTCAAATATGTGGCTGTAATGTTTGGTTTATCTAAGGGTCCCATTTACACAGTGAGATAAATCTTACTGTGTAAATGGGTTTGGCTGTAATTTAAGGACAGGTTCTTAAATCTGATAGGATTTTAATTTTTTTTATTGCTGTTTTGCACAATTTGCTTAACTTAAGTATTTTTTGTTGTTAAATATTAGAGAATTTGCAGATATATTTTTTATACATACATTGTTTAGATTTACTAATACATTTCTACCCCTTTTATAGAATAGAAAATCTCTTTATTGTCCCACAATGGGGAAATTTACAGCAGCAGAAAGATTATTGAAAATGTCCACAAATGAGGACCTTAGAAAAATGTCTAAAAATAACATAATAGGGAAGAGTTAAAATATAAACACTGTAAAGTTTTTTTTAACAATTTAAAACTGTGCACCTGGAGAATAAATAAGCAATATACAGCTATAAACATTTTTACAGTAATGGATATTTGAAAAAAGCAGCAACATCAGAGATGTCCAAAATGACAGCAGCATGTTATTTAACTGACTAAGGTTTATATCATTACATTTGCTTTTATTTGTTTGTGCTCCGGGACGCAGCCCATGAATTCGAACAGAGCCTTAGTGCCTGAAAGACAAGCAGGAAGTTGGAGCTGCCAACTTGAATCCTGCAATTCTACGGAGACAAAATGTCAAACACATGAACTCCGATTGTTTCCACGACAATATTGTCTTGGCAGTTACCGAGTCCCTCTAACATATTGCTGATGTATTTGTGTCTTTTAGGGCCTGTACCTGGTGTACCATCCCATCCAGCTCTCAGACGCTCATGCCTTTGCCATCCTGCTGTTCGGCCTCATTGGTTACTACATATTCCGCTCCACCAACCATCAGAAGGATCTGTTCCGCCGTACAGAGGGGTCCTGCTCCATCTGGGGCCGCAAGCCCACCTACATTGAGTGCTCCTATGTGTCCGCTGACGGCCGCAACCACCGCAGTAAGCTCCTGACCTCGGGTTTCTGGGGAGTGGCGCGCCACTTCAACTACACCGGCGACCTGATGGGCTCCTTGGCCTACTGCGCCGCCTGTGGTTTCACCCACATTCTTCCATATTTCTACATTGTCTACATGACCATCCTGCTGGTCCACCGCTGCGTGCGTGACGAACATCGCTGCAGCAGCAAGTACGGCAAAGACTGGAAACGTTACACCGACTCTGTGCCTTACCGGCTGATTCCTGGACTCTTTTAATGAAATGGAGAGGAGGAATGGGAAAAGAACAGGACATGAAGATGAAATGATAGATAAGCTTGGCTCCTCCCTCTCACCGCCAGACTCTCAACTTTTATAAGTTTCTATTGTTTCTACTTCTGTGCAAAGAAAGGTTGTTTCTCAGAAATGCAGTTGGGCAGTTTTCTGTTTCTGTGAAGCTGGAGCGTCGTACTGATCTACCATCAGACAGACCGACAGCATTAGATCTCTGACTGTCCTCTGTCTCCCAGAAACAGAGTTTTAAGCTGATAAACATGAAATGTATGGACTTGTTTCTCATTAACTGCCTATCAGGTTCAAACTCCTCTGATAACAAAACTGTTTTTTCATATCCTGCTTTAAAGTTTTACTTCAGTTTTAAAGAACGTGTTCAGATGCAGGTTTAGAAGAACATTGAACTCTTGCTTTCTTGCTGTTTTTTGGACCAAATAGATGAAAATTAAGTGACCTCCAAACTTTGACTGAGATCGCATCAGTTCATACAGACCATTTGGTGTGAATCTAAGGAAAGAGATTGATGTATTATATATCAACATTATAACTCATTCAATAAACTAAAAAAATATTTCTTTGTTTACAAAACATTTTTCTGTCTGTGAATATATCATGTTCTCAAAGGAATATGATAAACAATTCAGGCTTTTCCTCTTAGATAAACTCTATTTGAGAACAGTGAAGTTTCATTCTGTGAAGTAACACCAGAGGCACCAGAGAGCTTTACTACAAGCTTGAGTTTTCCTTTTTTTCCCACATTGGTACAACAGATACACGCTAAGTTTAACAGTTTAAAGATGGTTTAGGCTGCAAAATTCAAATAGTTTTTAAACTCATATCAGGGGATTTAAAAAATTCAATTCATTTTATTTTTATAGTGCCAATTCACTAGGGTGACCATATTTTCATTTGGGAAAACCAGGACACCTTGGAGTGGGGGGGGATCTCTGTTCCCATGCATAGAGATGTCTGTGGCATGCACTCACTTAACATAGACCTACGTAATCCTATAATAACATGAGATTCACAGTTGATTTATTAAAAAATGCTTTTCAGTCAACAGCAATAACTCCAATAACAAAATATAATTTAATTCAAAATGTATTTATTAAAAATGCTTAACAATTCCTGTAATGAATGAATAGCACAATGAAAGAAATAATGTCTCATCTAAACATCCCTCACTTAACAATAAAAGTTAACAATAACTCTCAACTCCCAATAACAGATGATACTCAGCCTCAGCAATGAACGAAATGTCTGTTCTGTAGGCTATTGGAAAAAATTAATTAACAAATGAGCTAACTAACAAAAAATACCTCTTGTGTAGCAAAAATTATTCAAGATGTACCAAAAACGAACAAACATATCAATAGATATCTTTACTTTCGGAGTCCAGGTGGCTTTTCAGATCCCTTGCACCTCCATTGGACACCGAGACATATGTGCACAAGGCCTCCCATTTGTCTCGACCCGGTCTGAAAGCGGGGAAACTCTTTTGTAAATCGTTGGTAAACATACATTTGCGCTTTTGCATGTTGTTGGGATACTGACAGCCACGCAATCTATATTCTGATTAAGAATAGGGCTGCCTGCACTTACGCGGCTCAGGGATTACGTCACACGCAGCGTTGTGCGCAGTGTCCTAGTGCCTGTAAATTTAATGGTCCAATTAAGGTAATTTAAAAAATCAGGACATTTCCTCGCTTTCTAAAAAAAACCGGGAAGCCCAGGACAGGACGTGAAATACGGACATGTCCTGGGAAATACGGACGTTTGGTCACCCTATATTCACAACACGTTATTTCAAGGCACTTTACAATTAAACCAGATATATAGTGAAATTGATTCAAAGTTTTCTATCCAAGGAAAACCAGTTGTTTGCTACGACTCATTGACTCGAAGGCAATCCCTCACACCAAGCATGCTTGTAGCGACAGTGGAGAGGAAAAACTCCCTTTGAAGAGCAGAAACCTTCAGCAGAACCAGGTGGAGACAGAAGCAGAGATACAGAAAGAAGCAGATACAAACAATTTGTCAACCAGCTCCAACACTCAGCCAGGCAGACGAGCTCCGAGCCAGCCCCAACGTTAGAGGACGAAAAGAGCACATCTAGTTAGTCACAGTCAATATTAATGTTGAGTATTAAGTTCAGGTCGGATGAATGCGATCCGGCCGCTCAGACATAGGTTACATTTAAAAAAAATCTGATTCTTATTAGAATCAGGACCACTAAGCCAAGTGGCCTGGGTCGCATGGTGAAAAAAAATCGGTTTTGTTAAGGCTGTCATGAAAAGATCAGATACAGGTCGCATATAGAAATACAAAAAAAAAAAAACGTGTTTGGGAATAAATGTAAATTTACTCTTTATGAGACCATATTGCCCCAAAAGTTTCAAAAACATATCTAAAAGAAAATCTTGTATTAATATCAAAATTTCCTGGTGTTTGCTAATATGCGTATGGAAGTAAATTGTTACCACATTTCAAATGAAAAAGCATTTTCAGAAATGCCTTTTCATTTTAAGAATGTGGCTGCATTGTTTGACTCATGACTAAAATCAGTAATCAATAATCCTGTTTGCATTTTCATTTTCTTCTTTAACACTGCTCATCATATTACTTAATTAAAATGAAAAAGACATTTGAGATTTATTTTTCAAAATGTACCCCAGCAAATAGCAAAATTCAATTTGAAATGTAAAATTTGAAAATGAAAAACCATTTCCAGAAATGCTTTTTCATTTTAAGAATGTGGCTGCATTACTTGACTCATAAATAAAATTAGTAATCAATCATCCTATTTGCATTTTAATTTTCTTCTTCAAGACGGCTCATCCTTTTACCTAATTAAAATGAAAAAGACATCTGAGATTTATTTTCCAAAATTTACCCCAGCAAATACATACCAAAATTCAATTTGAAATGTAAAATTTGAAAATGAAAAAGCATTTCCAGAAATCCTTTTTCATTTTAAATAATGTGGCTACATTATTTGACTCATAAATGAAATTAGTAATCAATCAACCTATTTGCATTTTAATTTTCTTCTTCAAGACTGCTTATCCTTTTACTTAATTGAAATAAAAAAGACATTTGAGATTTATTTTTCAAAATGTACCCCAGCAAATACATACCAAAATCCAATTTGAAATGTATAATTTAAAAATGAAAAACCATTTCCAGAAAAACTTATTCATTTTAAGAATGTGGCTGCATTACTTGACTCATAAATAAAATTTGTAATCAATCATCCTATTTGCATTTTAATTTTCTTCTTCAAAACTGTTCATCCTTTTACTTAATTAAAATGAAAAAGACATCTGAGGTGACTTGTCTAAATTCTCCTTAGGTGTGAATGTGTGTGTGAATGGCTGTTTGTCCTGTTTGTCTCTCTGTTGCCCTGCGACGGACTGGCGACCTGTCCAGGGTGTACCCAACCTCTCGCCCATTGACTGCTGGAGATAGGCACCAGTACCCCTCGCGACCCCACTTGGGACAAGCGTCAGATAATGGATGGATGGATGGATGGGAGACATCTGAGATTTATTTTTCAAAATGTACCCCAGCAAATACATACCAAAATTCAATTTGAAATGTAAAATTTGAAAATGAAAAAGCATTTCCAGACAGATATTTTTGGTTACAAGCTTCAAATGAGAAAATGAGAAACTATAGCCAAACTGCGCTTTTCAGATTGAGAGATGTTCAATTTGGCTTCTCTACCTGAAACAGACAAACCGTTAATGACACAGCCATGATCTTTTCTGGCAATCATTTTAACCTGAAAACTAAGAATATAAAGTAGATTTGTGCAGATATTTTTGGTTCCAAGCTTCAAATCAGAAGTTTAGGAACTATGTATAGCCAAACTGCGCTTTTCAGACTGAGAGGAGTTCAATTTGGCTTCTCTACCTGCCCTTAGCAAAAAGTAGTTTATTCAAGCATCGTATACTAAAAGTGCATTAATTTCATACTTAATATCAGGCAGTGCACTTAAAGTTTACTTATTCTAAATTATATTTCATATATTTAAAAAAAGTATAGTCAAGTGTACTTGACTTACACTGAGAAGTATTAAAAGAAGTCTAAGAGTAAATAAATCAATACTATGCCTATACTTTAATACTGAGTTTTGTACTTGTACTATGGTATGTGTTTTTTGTTCTCCACAAACCACTGATACTACATGTCCTGATCCATTATAGAATGAAAGATGAAGTAATTGACTTATGCGTACATTTGCATTTTTTACTACACTTTGCGCTCAGGTATCAACCCTGTTTTAAACTTTCATATTCAGGATCATATAGTGCTGGTGTTTAAAAGCAAAGTAATTGTCATGATGGGTTTTCTCTGAGTAAAGCCCAAGATGCAGAACACACACGGAGAGACAGGTAAAAGTCCAAAGAGTTTATTAAAGGAGCACATGAATATGAAACCGGAACAGTTCAGGCAGGAGGTTGGTTCACTGGGGTCTGTGCAGGGAACGGGGGATGGCTGGATTACTGAGATAATGAGGTGCTTAGCCTCTAGCTGTAAGCTAGCTAGGACGGCTTGGATCTGAGCTTCCAGCTCAACGCAGAGAACAACAGGGGATAATCCACATGGTAACCTCTGGGGAACTCCTCAAAGAAGTCCTCAGGTTTCTTCCACTTAGGGATCTGCGGGTTTTCTCACCAGGGCAGATTGCAGGTTGGGCTTTCCAAGAGCTTCTGGCTTGAGACTGGTTTCCTATGACGCAGCTCTCCCAGAGCTGCAGACCAGAGACAGGGTTCCAATGAGGGAGCTTCACAAGGAGACAGGAGGGTAAGCTCATCCAGAGCTTTCACGAAGATACAGGAGGTTAAGCTCATCCAGAGCTTCCACGAGGGACAGGATTCCAGTGAGGCAGAGATAAAGAAGATATTAGAATCTGGTCTCGACCTAGGAACAACCAAGACTCTATAGCAGAAGGTTCAGGAAGCTAACCAACTAAGATCAACACTGCGGCGTGGGATCAAGGTCAGGCAGGAGCTTATAAAGGAGAGGTCTTCTAATGAGAGGATTAGGAACAGGTGTGCAGGAAGGTTCCAGCTCCAGAAGACCCACAGCGCATCCTGCTGGAGACAGAGGGTAATCTCCAGATCCCCACAGTAACTCCAAACCTAAGGGAAAAACAAAGAGAGCAGAAGAGGATCCTCGGCGCCCTCTGGTGGGCAAGCCTGAGGATCCCAACAGTAATTAAAGTTTATGGTAAATTGATTTGTATTTAATCGATTTAACTTAAAACATACACAGAAACAGGGAAACATTTGATTGACTTTATGTGTCAGGTTTTATTTCTTTCACAAACATTTGGCAATGGTGTTATGTACACAGCATTATCTCTTTCAACAAGAACACATTTGGTTAGAATCATGTCAGGCCAAACAGCATTACCAGTTTCATTTTTTTAACCTCAAATAAGAAAGTACTTTGTATATTGATCTGTGAATCTTTACATACAGGTCTCTCTAATTTAGCAAGTACTTCAACTAAAACACAACATAGTTTGGCACAAGAACAAAAAGTAGAAATTTGATATGAACATGTTTGTTTAAAAATAACC